TGCTCATGAACGCTAAACAAACATGTTCACGAACGCTAAACAAATATGCTCATGAACGCTAAACGAACATATAAATGAACATGTTCACGAACATTTAAACGAACATGTTTCCGAACATTAAATGAACACATTCGCGAATGTTAAATCAATGGACACAAACACCTTAAAAATAAATAAACGAACACGAACACATTCAAAAATAAATAAACGAACACGAAACTAAAAAAATAGACGAACACGAACCACACAAGAAAACCTTCAAAAACAAACAAACGAATACAAACATAACTTTATTCGTTCAAGGCCGAGTCATTTACCCCTAATGTTGAAGAAAATTATGGCTGTGACGGTTTTAACTATTCATTTCCTTTTAGTTGGGTGGAAAGATACAGAATATATATCATTATAAATAGAAATAGACCTATAATTTTACATTAGAAACATAAATCTTTGAAAGATTATAGTAAAAATTCAAGGATGTAAAACTGTAAGATTTAAAAATAATTACGAAATACCTTTTAAAAAATAAGAAATTAAATACTAATAAAAATATTTAAATTACATAAAAATTTAAAATTTTCGAAAGATATAATTGTCCGTTACACATCTCGATTTTTCGTAACACATCTCGATCAATTCTTAATTACAAGGTCTCCTACAGATTTGTTTCTCTAACAAGCACCTACATGTCAACTCTAAACATAATATGTATGAGAAGTAACTTAGCATAACAATTAACATGTTGCTCTATTTAAATTGGCAATCCCTGATCTTGAATTCATTAAGTACTCTTAGTAGTTAAAAAGAGTATTATTTTTATTAGAGATTTTAAGTTCGAACAATATCTATAGAATATGTATGCATTTATTATCAAACCGATCGATTAAATTTCAAATTGATATTAACTTATAATTAACTTAAACTAATAAAAAGGCAATGCCCAATCTTGTTATTATTATAACTAGAAATAATTTAGGTACCTTCATATTTACAGGTACCGTCTGAAACTTCCATCACCTATTTTGTGTCTAACTCGAAGATTAAGCGCGAAATTCCTAATTCAATCCTTGTTGAATCCCTCTCGAATTCCGTTGTTTTATTAATCTAGAATAAGTATAAGATAACATATAGTTAAAGATAATTTTTAACATTTTTATATTAAATGTTCACACTCCTAACACTCATAGTACCCTACATCTCAAAAAATAACAATAAATACTTTACCACCGACATCGCTTGTACACTTTAATTAAATATTTATCATTTATATAAATTATAATAATTAATTATAATTACATAGAAATATTACTAATTTAATTATGTTTGTACATTTTTTAAGTTTATATTATAAACAAGTATCTAAAATATACTATCTTTTTCATTTAAGTATTTAAATAATTTTTCTATTAGAACAAGTATCTAAAGGTATCTTTTATATAAAAAATCGATATCTAAAGTTTTTTTTTGGGTCAAAATAAGGACCTTTAGTATTCAATCTTTTACATATAAATTCTAAAAAAGTTTATATGTGACATTAATTTAAAAAGAACTTTAAGTATTTAGATGAAAATATTGAATAACTTAAGTATCAATTTTGACTAATTTTTTTTAAATACTTATTTTAACTAAAAATATAACTTTAAATACTTACTTTAATTAAAAATACTTAATAAAATTTTTATTATAATTACATAGGTTGAAATATTTTTTTGGGGGGGGGGGGTTTCTGCATTGAAAGCATAATAATAGTCCAACGTCACAACACTTTCAGTTTCTTCCTAAAACACTAAACCATCAATCAAATTTCATAAAATTATTCAGAATGATAAAACAAGATGGAAAATCCCCATCACTAAACCCTAAATTTCAATCTCCTTGAAGCTTGCTTACCTCGATTTCCATGCACTTCAGAGTCAGATTCATCGCTAAACCATCCCACAGATTTCTGAGCCTCAAGCACAATCTGTGAAATTCCTGCAAAAAGTAATTAACAATCTCAGTAATCTAATAAATGGATTAAGTAATAGTTTTAAACAAAATTAAGAGTTCTTCTTCACATATCATAAATATTTATTTTAAGAAAAAGACGATAAAATCAGAAAGCAATGAGAGAGAAAAAAAAGGAGATTACAAAACTGGGTGTTTTTTTCCTTCCTGAACAGTAACCAAATGTAGGAATTAAATCATTATTTAAATCAAAATGAACAACTTTTAAGGAAAAATGAGTTTCATGACGGATCAGAGAATTTATAATAAGAATCATGAAATCAGAAACAAGAGAAATTGAATCCTTGGATTAAATCCATAAAACTTCGGTTTTGCCTTCTTGAACACTAATCGAATGCATGGATTACATCGTTATATAAAACAAAATCAAGAAATTACAGAACATAAATTAAGGAGAAAGAACATAAAATCAGAAACCAATGAAAGGATAAAGAAAGAAGAGGATTCAAAAACTAGGTATTTTTTAAGTTTATATTTACCTTCTTTAACGGTTTGTTTGTTGTGGCGGATGTCGTGGACGGTGGCGGAGATCTTCCAGTAAAGTGGCCGGCCGACGTAGAAGAGAGCCAAGAGGAGGAGCGCCACCAATACTACGCGAAATGCGAGCTTAGATGTTGGTGAAGCCATTGATTTGATCGATTCTTTTTCTTTGATTTAGCGAAGTTGAAGATTTATTATTGGGAAACTTAAGAAATGATGATCCATTAGTGACTGAAAAAATCAACAACATTAAGGGTAAACTACATTATAGGTCATTAAACTATATCAAAATGAGTGTTTGACCAATTCTCTTTTAAATATTATACAATAGTCATTAAATAATAAAATAGTTCCTATAATGCTATAAATAATAATAAATTTTCATAAGTTTAAGGATTATATTGTAATATTGATAAACTTAATTATTATTTTATCACAGTTTAATCATTTTAATGATTTTTTATATTACTAAGATTAATAATTATTTTATAATACTTTATTTCAAAATATCATTCTTATCATTTTACCTTATTTAATTAACAGGTAACCAAAATCAAGATTTAATCACATTTTTCTTAAATAATATTATTTTAAATTATTAATATAGTGTTATGTTATTAATCATGTACAAAAATATATTAATTTGAGTCATTAATTGTAAAGTTGAGTTATTAGGACAATAGTTTTATAGACCCAATAATTAAGCATATAGGTAATCTTTGTTCGATGTTGGAATCTTACTCATCTTCCAATTATAAAAACATATCGTCACACCCCAATTTTAATTTTTTAAATATAATTAAATTAATTAAGGGACCAAAATGAATAATTTTAACGTTTATGGTTTAATTTCGAATATGTAGAGTTTAGGGAACAATCATGTAATTATCCAATTTGTCTGTCCGTGGAAAAATATATATGTTAGGTGGCTTGGGGGGTTCGAACCGCTGTCACCTTGAATGGTTGACTGTGCCTTAGACATTTAGCCTAGGCCCCAATAGCCGCAATCCCGTTAAAATATTAATATTCAATTTTATTCTAACCCCAACGTCCGCCCCCTCCGTCAGTGGATTAAATACATATTTTTTTAATAATGTTCCTAATTGTTTTATATCTTCTTTGATTTTTTTTATATAAATTCATAAACAATGGATTAAATATCAGGCGGTGGAATATGGACTTACGCCAAATGATTAAAGCAAAACAACAATTACATATGGTGTTGGATAATGAGGAGCGGTAGTGGGCACGAAGGTCAATAGTAAACTGGTTTGCTAGGGCAATCCAGCGTCAAAAGAAGAACCGAATATCCAAGTTATTTGATGCAGACGGAAATTGGACTGAATCGAGAGATGGACTTTCTAAGGTCATAGTGGATTACTTTATAGACTTATTCTGTATAGCTAATGTCACCCAAGCTCTCAAATTATCGACGCAGTTGATTATGCATGAGATGAATAGGGAATTTACTAAGGAATTTACTAAGTGTCGTAACCGTCTTTCGGTTGGGCCCGGAATTGGGCTTCGACTTGGATTAAACGAATTGGAGTCGCCACCGACCATTTTAAAATGAATTTAGGTGGGTCGGACACCATCTTATCTGATCTGCGTTGTACCAGAAACGTGTCGGGTTCGGGAGTCGGTTACGGTCAAGGAAGAATTAGCACCCTTAAACCGCCCTTTCGGTACCAATTAATTTTTCAGTTGTCTTAATTGCAAAAATTAAAATTGAAATTGAAATTTAAAACGTTCGATTCAAGTTACTTACCTTTGATTGATTAAAATTGATCCTAAAAAAGTCAAAAATGTTAGATTGAAAGATAAACTTAAATAAATCAAAGAGTGAGAAAAAATAAATAATAAATAAATTGAAAAAATAACAACAACAAAATGTTAAGAAAACCTAAAAAAAATAAAAAAGTAGAAAATGTTCGGTCTTGAAAATAATAAAATAAAAGAATGTAAAAAATATGCATATGAAACAATGTTTTTTAAAAGAAAGAATAAATAAAAAACTAAAAAAACATATTAAAATTAAAAGCATAACAACACAAAAAAATCGGACCAAAATGCATGATATTCAAAGATTGAATGATCACACCAAGGATTAGCACTTTATAACCTCATACCCACGTGGGTTACATGAATCAAATAAATGATTTTTTTTTCTAAACACTTGGATCCTATGCATATATATAATATTTTATTATAAACTCATGGATCCTATGCATATATATAATATCTTATTTTAAACCCTTGATCCTATGCATATATATATAATATTTTATTTTAAATCCATGAATCCTATGCATATATGTATAATTTTAATGGGTTTCTTTTGAAAAGATAATCAGAACAAGCTCCAATCAGAGTAGCACAAACAAAAAAAATTTGGGGTTTTGGCATATCATAAGCTAGAATAAAAACAAAAATGATTTCGTATGGCCACTAATACTCGAAGACAAAGAACAGCAAAGTAAAACAGCTAAGCTAAAAGCAAGTTACTTCTAGAAGGCAAATTCATGAGGCTTCATGCCAGACTTCAAGGAAAATCTTGCCGCAAGGTAGGCTTTCAAATCCGAGACCCCCTCGATGGACTTTATTAAAGAGGCGTTGTCTGCTTTCTGGTTTTCTTTCTTGTCTTCTGGCAGCTTCTTCTTATCCTCTTTTCCAGTTTCGAAGAACTCTCCCTCACCCCGTTTTTCCTCTGTAATTTCCCTTTTCTCGCTAATTTTCCCCCCGAACAATCTGTGTATCTCTCCTTTTTCGATATATTTTTGCTGGTTCGAATGTTCCTGTTCGGATGGTTTTTCACCCCTTCTATTATTTGCTTTTGCTTTCACCGAATCCTTCCCCCCTCCCCTTGTTGAACCTTGCTTATGATTTATATAAGCACAGATATAGACGTTGGAAGGTTGCAGCTGCCAGATATTCAGGGATTCTAGCCGAATTCTCGAGGGTGTTTGAAATGGTTGAGATACGTGGGGGAGAGGTGAGCGAAGAGAGCTGAGATTGCGCCGGAATTTTCGAGGCTGCCATTGATTCGAAGTTTGACGTAAAACTAGCCTTAGTTTTGCACCAATCCCGTGAGGCAGGTTCTAGTGAGCTGAGTTGGACTGATCAATTGGATCCTAGCACAAGACGGAACAAAAGAAAAAAGTTTTATATCTTAGTATAAATATGTATTAGACTATATAGTCTAATATCATATGTCCTATATAAAAATATATACTATACGATAAAACTATAAATATATATGATATATTTTCTATATATAAATATATTTATAAATATGTACGAAAATGTGTGTCTACAGCTGCCCCTCTTTGTCATTTTTCGCGAAACGAAAAATAGGACAAAGATAAAAAAACACAAATTTTCGTTTGGTGGAGTTCAAAAATTGATTCTGATATTTCAATTAAGAATAACTCCCTGTCGGTTTGAGTTGCGGATGGCTCATTCGCTGCGAAGTTGAGTCCATCTTGAAATGACATGGAATTGAAGTCATAGTTCGGAATTTGAATCGGAATGTGGCTTTTCGTTGTAGTCCGCCTCGGTCTTTTCCTCGATTTAAAGACTCTGGTTGGAAATTCGATTGGAAAGTAGTTCATTGACTCCATCATGTGGTTGATAGGCCCTCGAGCTGAACGAACTCGAACTCGAAAGGTCTTTGTTGACAGATAGCTTTTCTCGACTTAAGTTGTGTTGCAAATGATATGCCTTGGAGCTGAGCGTAGTCGAACTCCAAGGTCTTTGGTGACAGATAACCCTTCTAGCCTTGAGTTATGCTGTAAATGATGTGCCTTGGAGCTGAGCATAGTCGAACTCGAAGGTCTTTGGTTGGCAGATAACCCTTCTCGACTTAAGTTATACTGCAAATGTGCCGTTGAGTTGAGCGTAGTCGAACTCAAAGGTCTTGTGTTGGCAGACAACCCTTCTAGACTTAAGTTGTGATGCAAATGATATGCCTTGGAGCTGAGCGTAGTCAAACTCGAAGGTCTTTGGTGACAAATAACCCTTCTAGCCTTGAGTTATGCTGTAAATGATATGCCCTCGAAGCTGAACGTAGTCGAACTCGAGGGTCTTTGGCAGATAGCCCTTCTCGACTTAAGCTATTCTGCAAATGATGTGCCTTGGAGCTGAGCGTAGTCGAACTCAAAGGTCTTTGCTGACAGATAACCCTTCTAGCCTTGAGTTATGCTGTAAATGTTATGCCCTTGAAGCTGAGTGTAATCGAACTTAAGGGTCTTTGGCATATAGCTCTTCTCGACTTAAGCTATACTGCAAATGATGTGCCTTGGAGCTGAGCGTAGTCGAACTCAAAGGTCTTTGGTTGGCAGATAACCCTTCTCGACTTAAGTTATGCTGCAAATGATGTGCCCTCGAAGCTGAGTGTAATCGAACTCGGGGGTCTTTGGCAGATAGCCCTTCTCGACTTAAGCTATGCTGCAAATGATGTGCCTTAGAGCTGAGCGTAGTCGAACTCAAAGGTCTTTTGGTCACAGATAACCCTTCTAGCCTTGAGTTATGCTGTAAATGATGTGCCCTCGAAGCTGAGTGTAATCGAACTCAGGGGTCTTTGGCAGATAGCCCTTCTCGACTTAAGCTATACTGCAAATGATGTGTCGTTGAGCTGAGCGTAGTCGAACTCAAAGGTCTTTGGTTGGCAGACAACCCTCCTACATTCAAGTTGTGCTGCAATTGATATGCCTTGGAGCTGAGCGTAGTCGAACTCGAAGATCTTTTGGTCACAGATAACCCTTCTAGCCTTGAGTTATGCTGTAAATGATGTGCCCTCGAAGCTGAGTGTAATCGAACTCGGGGGTCTTTGGCAGATAGCCCTTCTCGACTTAAGCTATACTGTAAATGATGTGCCGTTGAGCTGAGCGTAGTCGAACTCAAAGGTCTTTGGTTGGCAGACAACCCTCCTAGATTCAAGTTGTGCTGCAAATGATATGCCTTGGAGCTGAGCGTAGTCGAACTCGAAGATCTTTTGGTCACAGATAACCCTTCTAGCCTTGAGTTATGCCGTAAATGATGTGCCCTCGAAGCTGAGTGTAATCGAACTCGGGGGTCTTTGGCAGATAGCCCTTCTCGACTTAAGCTATACTGTAAATGATGTGCCGTTGAGCTGAGCGTAGTCGAACTCAAAGGTCTTTTGTTGGCAGACAACCCTTCTAGACTTAAGTTGTGCTGCAAATGATATGCCTTGGAGCTGAGCGTAGTCGAACTCGAAGGTCTTTGGTTGGCAGATAACCCTTCTCGACTTAAGTTATGCTGCAAATAGTTTGTTTGAAAAAAATGGCTTCCCTTAACGAGTCAAAGCCGGTCATGATTCTTCAGGTGATTCCTCTGAGCGAGAACCAAGTAAGACAATCTTTGGATAACTCCCATTTTATGGGAAAGCCCGTTGATGAATTCTGACAACCAAATATCTTCCGTTGTGGAATTGAAATCTGGCTTGAAGACATAAACTGGAAACATGTTGCTCATTGTTGAGTTGAGCTGAACTGAATTTGATCTGAATTGGTTCTCGAACCCATCTGAAATTGGTTCTGAGATCTGTAGATATGTAAAGTCGGTTGAGGTGTAGCTTCTTGCTGCTGAGTTACACCATCGTTCTTTAAAGGTGCTTGCAAGTCGAGTAGCCTTCATCCTGAAGTCGAAGCTTGACTCTGAAAGCTGCAAAATTATGCATGCTAAAATGATGGATGTGATGCACCTAAGTATGTCTAAGATGCATGCAACCTGAATAAATTATGTGTTATTTCTTGGATGGAGTCTCGTGCTTTGTATGCCAATCTGGTCCATGGAATCGATCGTGCCCCATTTGCTTCTTGAGCTTGGGCTTTACAGACATTTCATATCCGAGATTGTTCTGTTTGAAAATGTTTTTCTCATTTTTCTTGTTTCAGGAGAGAAAATGATAAAAATGCTGTAAAATATTATTCGCAATTGAATCAAATTATAAACGTGAGTTCAAAGAATATCAAAGGAATCAATAGCTCTCTTAACGTTTTCAGAGTTACAGCTCTTTGAAAAATGTTCAAATGGATGGGTTGGCTTCATTCTGGCCTCCTTTCTAAGGTTTTGGTAAAAAAATGTCATTTTTTGAAATATCGAACCATGCTTTGGCATTTCGATTAGGCGCGGACAAAATGATGCAACTAACTTAATCAATTACTAGGCCTTCTATTTCGGTTCTCCGAAATCTTTCATTTGTTCAAGTTTTGTAGGCTCCTCTAACAAAGGTAGTGCAGAAACATCGGTCTAAAAATGAAATTCTTGAGTGCTCGTGTGTAGTTGACTATAACAGGTGTTCCTTAACTCCCTTAGTCCATTTTACCGAAAATTTCTTGCTTAGATAAATTTGATTTAACTTGTCATTATCTGGCTAGCTGAATCCATAAAGCCGGGGCATTTAACCAATTGCCTTAGAGGGACAACTTAATATTATAATCACTCTTATCAAGTTAACTGAAGGGTTCATCTCATCACAGAGTCTTCAGCCTGACAAGAGCAGTGGAGCAAACACCGAATTGCCAAGTGTCCGAGCAATGTCATGGTTTGAACGTAATCTACTCATAAGGCCAGGGCTTTCAAGTTTCCTCTATAACCAATTGCCTTAGCGGAATAGCTCAGTTTTTACGGATTTAATTTCTTAAGATTGTCAAGAAGAACCTGTCATAGTCTAGGTGTTTTTGAAAGTCAAGGAATCTCATCTTTAGAGTTCAATTTTCAAACAACTGACCTAAACTGGATTCACCTACTCGACTCTTTCATTTGTAAAGATCATCATCGTCATTGAACATCTTAAATAAAAAACATAGTAATTGTCATATGGAAATGATGCCCCATGTTGTCCGTACCTTATGAAAGGAAAAGGTTGTATTAGTTAATTGTAAGAGCAGGGTATGGTGTTTGAGGGTATATTTTGGGTAAGGTCAAGGTCCTTGTTTTAAAACATGTTACTTTGTCAAAGATCCGTAACTTTGAACCGTTTACGGAGTTTCTTAATTCAGATGATATTCAAAGAATTGTAAGTTTGCAAATGTGATTCGTTGCTTAACATCATTAAAGTAACATAAATTTATTCAAATGTTCTTAAAAATTTGAAAAAGTGAAGAAGAAAAAAAAACAAGTTCAAACAGAATGCCTCAAATGATGAAATGATCTCCCTCACTAGGATGCCCCCAAGTTGTTGAAGTCGATCCAGTTCTGGTTACGCATCTTTTGTACGACCCTCTTGAATGCGTAACAGTTCTCAATTGTGTGCCCTGGGACTCCGCCGTGATATTCACAATACGCATTCTCATCATACCACTTGGGGTATGGGGGCTTCATGGGTTCTACTGGATATGGTGACACTACATGGGTGTCAAGGAGTTGCTGGTAAAGCTCTTTGTAGGTCATGGGAATAGGGTCAAAATGTTCCCTTTCCCTCCTGGAATCTTGTTTAGAAGTACCTGACGGTACAGCTGCAGTTGATTTTGGGCTGGAGATTGTAACACCTTTGCTGAAGTGTTTGATGTTGTTAACCTCTCCATCCCTCTCCCTCATAGGAGGCTTTTTACTGGCTTCCCCATCCTTAATCTTGCCTTGCTTTATGGCCGACTCAATCATTTCTCCGGCCATAACCAAGTCTGAAAAGCTTCCTGATGTGATCGCCACCAGGTGCCCGAAGTATGGAGCCTTCAGGGTCTGCACGAAAAGTTTACGGGTTTCCTTTTCATCTAACGGTGGATGAACTTGCACAGCCAAGTCCCTCCATTTTTGTGAGTACTGCCTGAAACTCTCGTTATGCTTCTTTTCCATGTTTTGTAGCATAACTCGATCTGGCCTTATGTCATTGTTATGCTTGTATTGTTCCAGAAATGACTTAGCCAGGTCCTTCCAGGTCTTGATATTTGATCGGCTTAGCTGGTTGTACCACCGAATGGCTGAGCCCGACAGACTCTCCTGGAAGCAGTGAATCAGGAGTTGGTCGTTTCCTCCATATCCTGTCATCTTTCTGCAGAACATGGTGATGTGAGCGGATGGACAACTGTTCCCGTCAAACTTCTCGAATTCCGGGGACTTAAATTTCAGAGGAAGAACCAAGTCTGGGACTAGACTGAGTTCCGCGACATCGATTTCATGGTAGTCATGGTCTCCTTTGACTACCTTCATTTGGTCCTCCAATTGTTTGATTTTTCCCTCAATCTTCTTCGCTTTGTCATCTTCGTCCAAATTCGGTTCATGGTAATAACCCGGATTGTTCTTAGGGTTAAATACAGAGGACGAGGGCTTTGCTTTTGCTGCAGATGAGTCCCCTCGAAGTTCTGGTAAGATTTCAGGTGAGATAACCACTTGTGGGGTAGGTTGTATAGTTACCCCTTCCGATGAACCTGCCCCAGGCACACTGGTCTGTTGTAGGCCAACTAACTTGGCAACGATCTGATCAACCAAGGACTCTTGGTTCTTTGTGATTGTTTCTAGAGTATTTCGACTATTTTGGTTTATCTTATCTTCTAGCTCTTTCTGTAGTTTCAACATATTCTCCTCGATTTGTATAATTCTGGCTTCCATCCTCTTCTTCTTCAAACGAGTGTTATGTGGATAGGGTGTGTCCAACGCTTGAGGCGGTGTATCCAGTATTTACTCCTTTTGATGAGACATGTATATGTTAGTTAATGTGAATGCAAAGAAAATAACAAAATGCAAAGAAAATAACAAAATGCAAAATGTCTAAGTGCATGATGCATGAAATGATCGAGGAATCAATCCAAAAATGTATCTGTTATTAAAAATAATCCTTATTGGGGACAAAAGTGTTTTATCTTTTAAGAGACAAGAATATTCTGACAACTTCTGACATGTTGACTAGTCTTCTGCGTTCGTCTGTCACCAGTTGGATAACCTGTCGAACCGCTCCGACTTATGCAGATGATGAGTTGTTTGCCCCAAAAAGAGTCTCGAAGGACTGCACCTCTGGCTTCCACTCTCTGCTGAGTCTGTTCCCTAGCAGCAACACCATGGGAGCCCTCTATCGAAGTTTTCTTCTTGAATTCGTCAGCAATGACATTCAGCTCAGCTAGGGTTTCACCATCTTGTTCTCGTAGTTTTCGCAAGGAGCGTCCGGGTCAATAACCTTTTCCTCGTCTTGCCGCTGCAACCTTTGCCTCTGGGTATTCTTTGACCACGACTGGACTTCTGAGCTTTTTATCTCTTTGTATTACAACCCCTTTGTCCATTAATACAGATTATTCATGTTTTAACAAACACATTTTTGGGGGATCAATACCTCATTTAAATGATGCAATTGATGAAAATAAAATGAAAGAGAAAAAAAAGAGTTAGTGAGGTAAAAATAATAAAAAATAATCATGAAAAATGAAAGTCCTACCCCACATGATATCTATCCGAACATGCTTAATATTCCTACCCGGACATGATTTCTATCCCGCATGCTAATTTCAAACAAATCTTAACCGCATATTTGTCTAGTTCGCATGCTTTGAACAGAAAATAAAGTAGGAAATAAAAACAGCCTAGGGTTTGGAATGAGGTTTTGGGGTGGGCTCTAATTCCCTGTAATCTCCCGGTTTAGGTTTTAAAAAGGTACTCGAGTTCTCCTTGCTGGTGCCCTTCTTGGGCTTGCCAGACCCTTAGTCCTAAACCCATCACAGGCTTGTGTGGACTAAGTTAAACTCGAGAGGAAACATTCCCTTATGCCCATACGGAGAATAAATTCACACGAAGGCATAAGGTATATGAATCCCGAAGGTTACTTGCTAGGCCCATACGGTGAATAAATTCACACGAAGGCGTCGCTTTCGCCCCCACTTAAAAGGGTTCGGAGCTCGGGTATAGAGCCTGAGATGAAAACTTTGAAAAATATGAAATCATTAAAAAAAATATTAATACAACTATTTATTTGAAAAATAATCAAAGGTGAATAACTAGAATCGAATAAAATAAATTTAAATTTAAATTTACCATTTTCGCATAAAAAGACAACCGAAAATTAATTTCGGCCTGACTCACTTACCTGTCCCCAGCGGAGTCGCCAAGCTGTCGTAACTGTCTTTCGGTTAGGCCCGGAATTGGGCTTCGACTTGGATTAAACGAATTGGAGTCGCCACCGACCATTTTAAAACGAATTTAGGTGGGTCGGACACCATCTTACCTGATCTGCGTTGTACCAGAAACGTGTCGGGTTCGGGAGTCGGTTACGGTCAAGGAAGGATTAGCACCCTTGAACCGCCCTTTCGGTACCAATTAATTTTTCAGTTGTCTTAATTGCAAAAATTAAAATTGAAATTGAAATTTAAAACGTTCGATTCAAGTTACTTACCTTTGATTGATTAAAATTGATCCTAAAAAAGTCAAAAATGTTAGATTGAAAGATAAACTTAAATAAATCAAAGAGTGAGAAAAAATAAATAATAAATAAATTGAAAAAATAACAACAACAAAATGTTAAGAAAACCTAAAAAAAAATAAAAAAAGTAGAAAATGTTCGGTCTTGAAAATAATAAAATAAAAGAATGTAAAAAATATATGCATATGAAACAATGTTTTTTAAAAGAAAAGAATAAATAAAAAACTAAAAAAACATATTAAAATTAAAAGCAATAACAACACAAAAAAACCGGACCAAAATGCATGATATTCAAAGATTGAATGATCACACCAAGGATTAGCACTTTATAACCTCATACCCACGTGGGTTACATGAATCAAATAAATGATTTTTTTTTCTAAACACTTGGATCCTATGCATATATATAATATTTTATTATA